GATTATGGTGTAGTCTATTCTGAAGTTTATTCCGTCATGATAGGATGCGGGCCTTTTAACGAGCTTCGTTCTGACTACTAGCAAAAAGTATCTATTGTGAAAACTGGCTACTTAAGTAGTATGCTTTTTATGATTGATTTTGAATGCCTTTATAAAGTCAAATATATTGTATGGAAAACATGCACGAAAAAATTGTGTATTGTACTTGTTTGATAGAAAATTACGCCTTCTTTAAATTTTATACTTAAAGCAAGGGTAGCTTTCGGTTATAAAAAAGTTGCTAGTTATGAGCTTTTTTACAATCGTGAGATGTTTATTCATAATACATCGTATCCGCCAATTTATTAATGTTGCTTTTACTGCATAAAATATGTTTTACATCTATTTCAGTATTTTATGACAACTATGTGACTTCTTCCTCAAACAGTAGGCGAAAACGTACTTTTCCTTAAACACGATGTACACAGTGCGCAGTGTTTAAACCTTGAATTCGGGTGTAGCAGTCACCAGGTTAGAAAATTATTCGGCTATTGAGCAACTCTTTTATAACCGACAGCTACCCTTTCTTTGAGTATAAAATTCAAAGAAGGCGTCATTCTCTACCAAACGAATACAAAAAGTAATTTTCCGTGCATTTTTCCATAAAATACATTTGAATTTATAAAGGCATTCAAAATCAATCATAAAAAGGCATACTACTTAAGTAGCCAGTTTTTACAATAGATACTTTTTGGTAGTAGTCAGAACGAAGCTCGTTAAAAAGCCCGCATCCTATCATGACGGAATAAACTTCAGAATAGGCTACACGATAATCAGTAAAGCTCGTTAAAAATTCCCGCATCCTATCATGAAGGAATAAACTTCAGAATAGACTACACAGTAATCAGTATCAAAACTGAATCAATACCGATTAGCGAAAGAGTATCAATCTTTCGCCTATGTCGAAACGTTGTGTGATCCGTGGCATCTAATGTACTCGCACTTCCAGATAGTTGCGGCTGCCCAAGGGTCACTTGTATACGCCACCCTTCGGCCGATGCAGCGTGGGCCATAACGCATGCCAGCCCCGCGGCTAATGTCTTACATCAGTTGGACACCACTTGAACTTCCTCAACAATCATGTTAAAACAGCTGCTGCCGCCACTGTCTCCCT